GACTCTCACAGGGTAGTGTCCTGCGCTCGCCGGATCACGTCATGTCACCTTCCCAGTTGCTTGGAAGCCCAGGGCTCAGAGAGGCTACCTGACACCCTCAAGGGAGAAGGCCGACCTGCAAAGTCCTGGCTACCAGCAGCATGGTGGGTGGACGGGGGTATGGCCAGGGACCTGGATTCTGGCGGCACCAACACAATCTGGCTACCCAGCCGCTGCTCTCTTGCTGTCATCCACCCAGACCCCCGGAAGCCACACTCAGCTCTGTGGTCCCCAAAATGCCCCAGGCCCTTAAGCCTCCTGGCCTTTACCCAGGCTGCTTCCTCTGCCTGCCACACCGTTTCACCTGCACTTAGCTGCCTGTATTTATTCAGCCTCTGGCTCTTCCCACAGGAAGCCTCGCCTGACTCCAGCACTGAAGGCCCCTCCTTCATGGCTCCTACAGATGATGGAATTAGCTGTTGACAGTCTCCCATGAGAATGTAAATCCCATGAAGGCAGCAGTGGCGTCTGTCTGTCCACACCATGTCCCCAGGGTCTCCCTGGCACTCCGTACAACCTTGAAGAATGAATTAACAAGTTTATTCCTGAGGGCATGAGGACATCGGCTCGATCCCCAGGCCTCAGTCTCCTCAGGGGGCCGAAAGGGCCCGTGTGCACCCAAAGGCTGTTCTGAGGATGGAGACCTGCCACACGGGAGGCGTTCAGAAAGGCCACTGAATGGCCTCCGCCCTGGAGCAGGAAGAGCTAGGACCGGGAGCATGAAGGGTCACCCCCCAGGTGTCCTGGGCAAGCCACATCCCTGCCTGGTCCTCTACCTGCCTTTCTGTAAAATGGGGTAATTGCAGGCCTAGCCCTGCCTTGGAGTTTGTGGAATAAAACTAAATGGTTATTCTCTTCCTGGCTCCCCAAGGAGCACCCCAGTAGTAATAAATGACCGCAGCCACTCTCCAGAGCCTTCCTTTGAGCCAGGCCTTCACCTGGATGGGCCCACGCAGCCCTCACAACCCCCCAACAAGGCAGGCACTGTCGTTTCCCCACTACACAGAAGACCAGAGAAGCTGAGCCACCTGCCCAAAGTCACACAGCTGAAAAGTGGTGGTGTCCCAATTTGAACAGCCTCCAGTACTCAAAGGCCCTTGTCTGGGACCTCACTGGTTGCAGGGAAGGTTCATTGAGACTGTATACATCATGAGGTCCAGAGAGATGACAGCAGGCACCTGCCGAGGACAGGGAAGATGGGACAGTCCTGCACCTCCCCACCTTCCCCTCTGCTCCATGAGGAGGCTGTGGCAAGATGAGACCAGGTCCTAAATCCGCCCACAGCCTCCAGCCACCAGGTGGTCACCATGTGGCACCAACCAGGGCAGTGCAGGGGTTTCCCAGACACTCTCTGCTGGGGCATGGTGGCAGGACCCAGCCTCCCAGGGGAGGGTAGAGGCCAGAGTGGCTCGGCGTCCATTCCGTGGCACCACAGCAGCGGACACCGGCAATCTGCTCACACCAGTTGGAAACTGAGTGAAACTTGCCAGCAAATGAGCCCAGGCCTCACCTCCACCACCTGCTCCCAGCCCCAGACAGGGCCTGAGAGGAACAGGAGGAGCACCAGCTCACAGCCTCCCTTGTGGGACGGAGAGGAGGGGGTGTTCAGCCCTCAGTGTTAAGGGTTGTCAAGCGACATGACCCAAGAGCCTGGCACAGAGCCTGGCACAGAGCCTGGCACATAACAGAGGTTCAGACATGTGGATCTTCCCCTGCCTCCTCTGCCTGTGGAAATCTCATGCCTCTTCTGGCCCCAGTTCAAATGCTCTCTCCAACAGGGAGTCCTCCTGGATCTCACCAAACCCTTTCTGGGGCAGGGTCACATGGCCCCTGAACCCATCTCCTGGGC